ATCAAAGAACTTAACAAATTATGGAAGAAGACATTTAAAACCATTCAACAACTGTCATGTTTCGTGGAACACCCTGTATTTACAGTGAGAACCAGAAAACTCTGGAATAAGAAAATAAGAGAATTCAAGTTATGACTTTAAATAGTCCAATAAAAATGAGACACAATAAAATTAATCTAATTTGTGATTTAACATGTTACTAATAAATTATTTGCTTTGTTACAACATCAAATACAGGTAATTCTTGGTATAATGTCGCCTTCTTAGTTCACCAATTTCTAGATCTTGCTGTAGAGATTATTTTTAAAAGATTAACCTCCACTTCTTTATCATCTTTTATAATGTTCTGAAATTCCGTTTTTAGATATTTAAAAAAATTAACAACTTAACAAGGAAATTAAAAGGAATTTTATTTTTATTTTACCATCAAAACATCCAAAGCGTAGCGAGGGATGTTTGAAGCAAGGTTGAATATTAAGAAATTGCTTGATCTTTGATGCGCTCCAATGTACGGAAAATGTCGTCTCATTAGCATAGATAGATAACATATGCATATGACGTCACTCTCACTACTATATAATCAGTGACGTTATATATGGAGTTTATGTATCTATGCTTAGGAGACGACATTTGCCGTACATTGGAGCGCATCGAGAGTAAGCAACCTCATTATACAACCTTGGTGGGAAAGCTTCACAGGGCGAGGTCTTATCTTATTTGACCTAATTGTCACAAAAGACAGTTCAGTCAAAGCGTTAAATAACCTCGCGTAACTTTGAAAGTCTATGGCTGTTGGATTTTAGATTGCCGATTGCCGAAAAAGAGTAAGCTGCTGCTAGAGCCGAAATCCCGTCAAACTGCAGTAAATTGGACGCAAGATTGAAATCTTTTATGTGCAAAACTCCTTTTATTGAAAAGCTTTTAAGAAAAATAAAAATGCAGTTTAGAAATATTGCAGACCTTGATTTCAAACCATAAAGTTTATTTGATCAAATAGTGTAAATTTAGAAAATCAGGATGCACAGATATAGGGATTATAATATTCTAATCAGGGTGCACAGATATAGGGATTATAATATTCTAATCAGGATGCACAGATATAGGGATTATAATATTCTAATCAGGATGCACAGATATAGGGATTATAATATTCTAATCAGGATGCATAGATATAGGGATTATAATATTCTAATCAGGATGCATAGATATAGGGATTATAATATTCTAATCAGGATGCACAGATATAGGGATTATAATATTCTAATCAGGATGCACAGATATAGTGATTATAATATTCTAATTTGTGGCAAAACCTCAGTTCCTTTATTAATCTGCTGTGCTGAACCAAAAATGTTAATTCCCTCGAGATGATGATTGTCCATAATTTTTGATGATTTACAATTTCCATTTCGTAAATACTCTTTTAAGAACGACTTCAGACCAAGGTTCTAATGCAAGGAAAGTTATTTCAGGGGTGTACGCATCTTTTGTACTGCAGCGTACTGTCTCTGGGCGGTAATGTAAACACAAGACGGATGTCACAGTCTGACATGGGATCCATCTTTCACATAAAAAATTAATGAAATATTCTGGTCATAGGAAACTATTATTTATTATTATTTTTTATTATTTATTAATTTTAGCCTCTTTGCAAATTTTCGCAATTTACAAATTTTCGTAACACTTTTTTAATTAGATAGTTTGTAGATTTTTAATTAGCTAATTTTTAGATTTTTAATTAGCTAATTTGTAGATTTTAATTAGCTAGGTTATAGATTTTTTATTAGCTAGTTTGTAGATTTTTAATTAGCTAGTTTGTAGAGTTTTAATTAGCTAGTTTTTGTAGATTTTAATTAGCTAGTTTGTAGTTTTATTATTAGCTAGTTTGTAGATTTTTAATTAGCTGGTTTGTAGATTTTTTATTTGAAAACTCTTTTCTAACAGACATTTTGTTCTGTATTTGTATTCTTATGCAGGTTTTCTGCAATCAATAATAAAATCTAGACAGTAAAAATTTTAAACTACAATCTATTTTTTGGATTAATTGGTTCAATTATTTCTCGTGAAGGAAGAAAAGTTTAAGATCTGCAATTTTCTTTTTTTCTATAGAACAAAATTTATAACTTATCAAAAAAGTTAAGTTTAACAGATATATTCTCAACAAAAATGTTTAACAAGCAAGGAACAAAAATCTTGAATAATTCGAATTAAATTTATTTTTAGAATAATAAACATGATACTTTAAAGAACTCTTGGGAAGAAGTAAATTAGGTACAAAATTGATTTAGAAATAAATCTGCCAAAAAGAGGAAACGGTCTCTAAAGCAAATATTAGTGAAAATATTACTGATTGATTCCAATTTTATGACTTTTCGTATCATCTTCTGCAGGGATATACAGGGATATAGGGATACATGGGCTGCAGGGATACAGGGATACAAAAATACAGGGATACATATAATATAGGAAGATAACGATACAGAAATACAGGGATACAGGGATACTGGGATACAAGATACAGGGATACAGGGATATAAGGATACAGAGATACAGGGATACAGGTATACTGAGATAAAGGGATACAGGAATACAGGGATACAAGAATACAGGAATACAGGAATACAGGGATACAGGGATACAAGGATACAGGAATACAAGGATAAAGGGATACATAGGCTGCAAGGCTGCAGGGATACAGGGATACATGGATACAGAAATACAGGGATTCAGGGATATATGGGCTGAAGGGATACAAGGATACAAGGATACAGGGATACAGGGATTGAGGGATACATGGGCTGAAGGGATACAAAGATACAAGGATACATAGATACAGGGATACAGGGATGAACTAATCGGGCGAATGTTTTTGTTGGAGGTCTTGATAAAATAAGACAAAAATAAAATTAAAATTCTAAACTTAATTAAGTAAAGCTCATATAATTATATTTTTAAAAGATGGAAGAATATCGGGTCTGCTTGGTTTGATTTCTATATTGTCCCTCTGCAATAAAATAGGCTCTATTATAATAAAATATAAAAATATTATGAGTTAGCTCAAGCGAAAATATTTTACGACAATTGTCCAGTATTTTATTATAATCGAGCAGAGAAAATTTTGCATTTCTGACAATGTAGCTATACCGTTCGTTTCCTTATAGAAGTCAGAATCTTGTCTTTCAAAGAGAAATTTTGTGAAATATAATTAAATGGAAAAGAATTTTAGTTAACTGTTTTTTTTTATAGACCGCCAAAGCAGAGCCCCCCGTTGCTTCGAAAACTATTGACTCACCATGTTTATTGGGACAAACTGTTAGGCTGTACACCCTTCTATTTTTCGTGACCACTCCCTTTATTTATCTTGGATACCTTCTAATCTCCGTGTGTACCTTGCTATATCTCTCTACCAAGATTCTCCTTACAGAGGAGGCTGAAATATTAAAACCAGGAAGTTTTGATAGAAAAACTTTTTGAAAACATATTTGTCAAAGTTTGTTTGATTTAAACCAAAAAAGAATTTAGAATGCTGAATGAGGAAGGATCGGAGGAGAGGGGGAGGGGGGTTAGAAAAGAGGAAGAAAAGGAAAGGAGAAAATATGATGTGTGTGAGTAAATTACGTAAAAATCAAACAGTTGGGGACGGTGTGTGTTTCTTAGAATTCAATTCTGGAAAAATCTTGTTTTGGAATGTCTTCCTATTGGTCACTTTTACAAAATTGACCAATGACAGGTAAGAAGAGTTCAAATCTCACAATTTTCTCGACAATTTTAGTTTTGGACATGCTTATTTCCTAAAAGTGGATTCTTCAAGCATTGGTTACTTTCTTGTATTATTATATATGAGATTAAAAAGATTTAAGAATTGATTAAAAAAATTTAAGAATATAATTCATACTTGATTAGGCAAAGCTTTTAAGGGTCACTTGAAATTATTTAATAGGATTAAAATATTGCCAAGTTTCACACTCTCTAATTTCTATTTTCTTAATTTTGGTCCCTTAATTTAAACTTTTTGTAACTGGAAGTAACCAATTGAGTGTGGTATAATCGTTATCATACTGGTATTTTAGTATTTTTTTATGTATAGAATGAATCTTTAGTTGTTTAATTCTAAGCTTAGAAAATAAATTTTTGACAATTTGCCTAAAAAGTTACATTTTGCGTAAAACTTGCGGGTTTGCGCAAATTGCGCAAAACTAAAATTTCGTTTCATGCGCAACTTTCACAAAAAATATTTCCGCAAAAAAATAGCGCAAAACTCATTGCGTTTCATGCGCAAAAATAGCGCAAAAGTATGCAAAAAAAATGTGCGCGAAAATAGCGCAAATGTTGCGCAAAAGATTTAGCCATTTCGTGGAAGAGAAAAGAGAAAGAGGAAAAAAGAAAAGGAGAAAATATGATGTGTGTGAGGGGATGGGGGGAGGCACGTAAAACTAACTACAAATAAAGTGCACTGCATTGCATCCTTTCTGTATCGGAATATGTTCTGTCATAATATGTCAAAAATAGCGTAAAAAACTTTAATACTTAAATATTTAAAATACATGGCCTAACTCAAAGGTTAAGAATAGCAAAAACTGAAAATGGGTGAAAATGGTTCTAAAATTAAGACTTTCTGGACTTTAAACTTTGAACATGTTTAACTTCAGGAAAACTAGGATTGGTTAAAAAATATTGTACACAAAATAAAGTACGTTTTTTTCTTTCTAGCATGTAGCATACGTCTTTAATTACTGCGTTTAAAATAAATAATAAAATTTATTGAATAAATCAAAGAAAAACAATGATATAATTTTTCGTAAACATTTTTTCTAATTTTTGTACATTTAGGTATTTTCATAAATATGTGACTAGAGTATTTTCATTTTTCTGATTAAAATAAAAAGATAGAATCTTCATTATTTTAAGCTTTTTTCCTTTAAAAACTTGTTTAAGATTTTGTTAAATTGACGTCTGTTGTGAGGATTCTCAAATACAGAATTATTCAGAATTAAATCCACCAACTGTGTTGTGCTGACATTATCCTCTGTATCTGTCTCCGTATCTCCACCCTCCGCCTCAAGGGGAGAATCCCTGCCCTCCGCCCCTTTCATATGCTCGAAAGGGTCTTCATGGTTGACATTACACTTGACAGAGTTACATGGATCAGGAGTTCCAGGTTCAGATTTTTTATTCTTTCGCAGTTTGGGATAATTGACCTGAACAAAGAACTTTTTATCAGAACGGATAAAGGAACTAATTACTCGACTCAAACTCTTTGTATCTCTGAAATATGCCATGCCGGATCGAATAGACAAAATTTGAAATATCATATGTCTTGTTGCGTTCCAAATATGTAGGAATTAGAAAATTAGTGTTTCAGGAGAATAATTAGTTTTATTTAATTGTAAAATTTACGAAAGAAAATTTATTATATTTTAAAGGGACTGTATGCGTGATTACTGATTAGTGACCCTCCATGCAAAGATGGTAATAATTCACAACAATACCCTTTAAAGCTTTGCGTGATCAAATATGAATTAAAAAACAAGTTTTATAACTTAAAAACTGATCGATTCATATTGTGGTTTCTTTACAGAAGTGACGTGCATTTCTACTGAAGGAAATAAATATAGAAATTATTAGAATTAAACACTTTTCGACCTAGAAAATGATCAAAGGTTTTTAAGAGTATTACTGTGAATCGGGCATTACCATCTTCGCATGTAATTGCGCTTGTAGTCTGTTTAAGAAAAGGATTTTTTTGTTCTTGACAAAAGATATATTTTTGCTAACCTTAGACTCTGCTTTAGAAGCGTAAGTAGATTCTTTGCTGATCTTGATCATTGGTCGATCCTCAGTACACAGCTTCTGGTGGAACTTCAAGGAGGCAGGTAGGAAGGTTCTAATCAGTGTTGTTTTTTAAGACTTTTGAGGTTTTTGGTTTCATAAAAGGTCCCACTAAATTTTATAATTTTAAACCATTTTTTCCCTAAACTTTTGATTTTCTGAAACAAGGTAAAATTTTAACCCTGGGAGAAGTTATTTGCATGTACGGACTAATATAAACGGTAGAAATGAACTTCAAACTTAGATATTTCTTTTATTGCCATATCATTCAGTTTAGCCATGTTCAGACAGACGATCAATACCAAACATCAGATCGTCATATTCAAATAGATTTTTGGCGGTTATTAAAGTCTCATTCTTTATGGGGAAATATATATTCCACTGCAAAGTTAGAAACCTCAGTCACACTAAACCATGTACATTTGAATCTGAGCCAAGATATCTGAGCTGAACCGACCTTTCTGTCCTAGTTTGTACTGCCCCGCCCGGTACTTGCAGACATTTGGCAGGGGTCAAAATAGTTGGCCTAGCTGTGTCAGTGTGTAGGCAGTGCTAGCTGGTACAACTAGGTTGGCGCATTCTGACTTTAGACTGCATCTGCTTAAATTTACAATCACTAAGGCGGCAATTTTCCGTACCTGCTGCAGAATTCACATGCTAACAGAGCAGCATCATTCCAATCTCTGAGAGCGTCTGCGTTGAATTTGTTGAGCTCCGCGCCACTCAGCTCACCACTTATCACTTTTTCCAGATTTTGGGGAGCCTAATGAATTTATTTGTCTAATTTCAGATACAGAGAGAGGTTGGAACTTTTTTGTAAAGTATCATTAATCTTAAACCCTTGATCTCGATATCCAATGCGGATACTATAAAATTTAGGGATTTGCCATTCTCTGTTGCGCGCAATGCCCCGCAAAACAGAGAGAGGGGGACCTAAAAATAATTAAATTAGTATTTATTTAGGGTTAGGTTACGTTAGGGCACTTTCTGGGCCGAGCGCTGCGGCTAGGACAGGCTAGGGGGCCAAGCGCTGCGGCCACATGTCTTACATTTAAGACCCCACCAGCTGCCAGTCTCTACTCAGGCATCCCACAGATATTATTTCCTGGATCTACAAAATTCAATCCCCCTCCCTCCGCTCTGGAACCCCACGGTATAATGATCAATACCTGATCTCTTCTTTTACGTTGTCCCTGCAGCTGCCACGGGATATCAAAGAAAAATTATGAATTAAATCGTAGGTTTGCATTAGATGGAGATCAATGCTTAATCCTGAGATTCATATCACAAAAGATCTGACCTCTGGCTCATTTTCCATAAAAAGTGTTGGGTATAATTTATAATATATTTACAGAATTTCTAAGAAAAGAGGGAATTATAAAATATTAGCAAAGCCATCTGTTTAAACGGGCAATGAGACATAAAAATAACTGTATAGCACTTGTGAATACATTGAATATTAAGTAGAAAATAACAGATTTTGTTTCTTTTTTGCGTTAAAATGTTGCTCTTCAAGTGCCAATTTTTAATATTAATTTTTCCCTTAATTTATTTTTTTAATGGTTGCATTCTTAGAAACTTTTTTTCCGGTCAAAATTTGTCAGTTTAACGGTTCATAAACCTTCCATAGGGTCATAAACCTTCCATAGGGTCATAAACCTTCCATAGGGTCATAAACCTTCCAAAGGGTCAAATTATTTGCTAATAAACTTTGAATCCGATCAGTTTAGATGTTTTGACATTCAATAGACACAGACAAACATATATAGACATCCATATATATATATTTATAGATGTTTTGACATTCAATAGATAAAGACAAACAGATAGACATTCCATATATATTTATATACCCAGCTCTGCCAAGGTTACTAAAAGTTACTCCTGCCATTTACCCGCACTTGAACGATTTTTCCGGGATACTGAATTTTCGCTAGTTAGGTCGATTTACTGAACTTAGAATCTTAAAACCAAGCTAAGAACATTGCCGTGGGTCTCACGAGTTCCCCAGTCAAAATTGAAGCAAAAAGGTCCAGGGGTTCCAAAGTTATGGTCGGACAAACAAATAGACAGACAAACAGAGATTACAACTTATAAATACTTGCTTAGGAATCCGGTGCTGCCCAGGTTACTAAAAGTTACTCTCGCCGTTTACCCGCACTTGAACGATTTTACCCGGAAACTAAATATTCGCTATTCAAGTCAACCTCCACAACTTAGAACCTAAAAACCAAGCTAGGAACATTCACGTGGGTCTCTTGAGTTAACCAATTATAATGTGAGGCAAATCGGTCCAGTGGTTCCAGGGTTATGATCGGACAAACAAACAAACTGGCAAACAGAGAGATTACAACTTTTTGGATATAACTATATATTATATATATATATTATCTTTATAGAGAGATATTTCAGAAAGCTCTGAATACAGGTTTAAAGATATAAATACCAATAAATATCTATTATCTAAGTCTAAGCATACTACGTCAGAGATAGGAGTTGAATTCAGGCCATTATATACAATACATATATCTATTTATATTGGGTTCAGGTCAAAGGGAGTGTACACATAATTTTAAGTGACTCTTCATTAATTGAGCGGCATATGGGATTCACAACAGTACCCTTACAAACCTTTGTCAGATCAAGAATGTATGAGATATTCATAATTTTTATTTAAAAACTTTTTTATTTCAGTTGTGGCTTCTTTAAAATTGGAGGACTACTTCGGAAAAAATGAAGGAAAATGTCAGAATTAAACCCTTTTCCGCTTAAAAAAACACTACAGTGAAACCCTTAATAACGAATACATCGAAAGAATTCATCAAATGTCATATTCTTCACTTTCTGATAATGGAATGTTGCAGATATTTAGTTTTTTAATTAAATGATTATATGGAACTCTTTAAAACTGTTTATTTTCGCAAATACTGAAATCAACGTAATATAGTATAAAACTCATTGAAAAACAGTCAAGACGACATTTGATAAATTCTTCCGCTGTATTCGTTAATAAGGGTTTTACTGTACTAGATTTAGCCCAATATTAATGAAATAAAGGTTTAAAGAGTAAAGTTGAGTGGTGCCCCTCTCTAGAAATTATAGTTGAGTGGTGCCCCTCTTTAGAAATTACAGTTGAGTGGTGCCCCTCTTTAGAAATTACAGTTGAGTGGTGCTCCTCTCTAGAAATTACAGTTGAGTGGTGCCCCTCTCTAGAAATTACAAATGAGTGGTGTCCCTCTCTAGAAATTACAGTTAAGTGGTGCCCCTTTCTAGAAATTACAGTTGAGTGGTGGCCCTCTCTAGAAACTACAGTTGAGTGGTGCCCCTCTCTAGAAATTACAGTTGAGTGGTGCCCCTCTCTAGAAATTACAGTTGAGTGGTGCCCCTCTCTAGAAATTAAAAAGACAGCTAGTTCCTTTCAAGTGTTCTGTCGCTGATGCATCTATTTTGTTTACAAATTTCGCCCAGAGATAACTGGTTTTAATATGTACGCAGAGTATACGCAACTGCAATTAACTTTCCTTGCATTATAACCTTGCTTCCTTTAAAGATACTTGTAATCTGCCCATGGATAGATGGAAACTTATTAGGATTGAACTTACTGTATAGAGCTAGGTTTGTGGCTCACAGTGCTTTAATTTAGAGTCAAAGATGGGGTCTGAATTTGTGATTCATTTTGGATCGCATTGCCTTTTAACCGAAAATTAAAGTTTAAAGGGACAGTAAAGGAAAAATTAAAGGGGGTATAGGCTGAAAGCTAATCACTTTAGCTTTTCATCGAGCCCCTTGAGACGCCTATCTGAAGTTCCTAACTCGAGAGTTGATATAAAGCTGTTTCAAACTTGTACGAAAATGCATATATATACAATTTCGTATAGAAATAGTAGGTTTAAACAGACCATGCTCAGAAAAACAGCAACCAATCTGAAAAAGATGATATCCCAGAGAAAGCTAATTGTAATTTAGGTTTACTTTTATATTTGTTGTTTCTATTTTCAATAGATTTCATTCATAATATTATTTTTACGTCCGTATTACTTGACCAGAAATTCCACCAATGGCAGTGCAGTAAAGTGGTCACGTGATACAGGCGGAGACACGTGACCAGTATACTGTTCTGCCATTGGTGATAGTTCTGGTCACGTGATTTAAGTTTCAGATTTTCACAATTTTACATATATGAATTTTCGTATAATTATAACACAGTTTTATATCAATTTCTCGAGACAGGAACATCAGATAAAACTTTCATGGGTCGCGATCAAGAGCTAAAGTGATTAGCTTTCAGCCTATATCCCCTTTAATTTTTCCTTTACTGTCCCTTTAAAAAAAAATATTTTACAGTCGTAATGTTACGTCCACATATGCACTTGGAACAAAATAAAGTGTAAAATATGAACTACCTAAGTTTATGTGCTTTATTATGAAATATTAACTTTATATGAATGCGTCGAAAATAATCGATGACTATTGTTTGTAATATCTGAATGATTTGTTTAGAATTAAATTGATTATTTTACGATCCGAGTTGAACGTTGCATATTTCTGAATTTGTATGGACGGTACTTTCTTCAGTGAGATCGTAGTTTTTAATAATTTTCTCCTTATAGAGACGCAACAGATAGATGTAAGATTAGTAGCAATCAAAAGCGCTTATGTTTCGCCGTAACCCTATACTCACTTTCATTTTTCGCGAACACTCCCTTTAAGTGACCCTCCATTTTTTAGATTCAATACAGTACCATTTAAAGTTTTGTCTGATCAAGTATGAATTAAATATCCAATCCATGTTTATGTCTTTGTTGGCGGATTATTTTCAGTTGTGTTTTTTTCGGCAATTAAGTGACTTGCGATACAATGGATGATATGGCCAAAATGAAACACTTTTAAAGCTAGAAAAACGACGTTATCTTCCTCAATATAGGTCATAGACATGTCTCAAGCGTACCGTTGTGAATCGGGCATGCACCTCTTTTTACAGGAAAGGTACCTTATTATTATGCAACGACAGTCATATTTTTTTCCATTTCAATTTGGAAACTTTCAATAGTTATATTCCTAGACTAGACAAATTCCTGGGGTGGAGGTCGTCGTTGATGTCTAGGTAATTTATTCTGCTCAATCTCCCATTTTTTCTGACAGGACGGAATATGGATGGATATACTCCGGGTACCAAAATCCCTGCCACAGATATAGCAGGAGACAGGCATTCTTCCTCCTAACCCGACCTAGGGTAATAAACTAGATTTAGAACCAGAGCTGGAAACTTTTGAACAGATAGAATGAGTTAAATTCAGTTTGACGATTTAACATTTCTTAGTTATCAAAATTTCGGTTAGTTTCTCCCAAAGGAAAGATTTGAATTCATAATTTCAAGTTTGAAGTTAAACTAAGTTCATTTGAGATATAAAAGAAAATCATATAAAAACAAAATAGATGAATAAAATTGAATAAAAACTAAATCGTTGTCGTTTTCGTTATTGTGTTGTTAATAATACTAATAATTCTTTACATATATCAATACAATAAAGACGACTTTCTATTCCAATTTTGTTCTATATTAAGCTTTTAAACATCATTGATACAAATAAACATGGAAATGAAAAGAGGCTGCCAATTTAAACAGATTCTCTTTGATTACTTGTAAACTTGAATTGAATTCCGTTGTAAACTGTATATAAGTTCAAATTCCTAAATTACAACCTTAAAATGGCCTTTTGGAAAACTGCCATTTAAATCTTGGGATGTACCTTACCATTTAAACCTTAACAAGAACCTAACCATTTAAACCTTGGAATGTACCTAACCATTTATACCTTGACAAGAACCTAACAATTTGAACCTTGGAATGTACCTAACCATTTAAACCTTGCAATGTACCTAACCACTTAAACCTTGGCAAGAACCTGACCATTTAAACCTTGGAATGTACCTAACCATTTATACCTTGACAAGAACCTAACCATTTAAACCTTGGAATGTACCTAACCATTTAAACCTTGGGAAGTAACTAACCATTTAAACCTTGGGAAGTAACTAACTATTTAAACCTTGGGAAGTACCTAACCATTTAAACCTTGGGAAGTAACTAACCATTTAAACCTCGGGAAGTAACTTACTATTTAAACCTTGGGAAGTACCTGACCATTTAAACCTTGGGAAGAACCTAATAATTTAAACCTTGGAATGTACCTAACCATTTAAACCTTGGCAAGAACCTAACCATTTAAACCTTGGAATGTACCTAACCATTTAAACCTTGGGAAGTACCTAACCATTTAAACCTTGGGAAGTACCTAACCATTTAAACCTTAGTATGTTTGTATATTCAAAATGTTATATTTAAAGGTGTCAAATATTTTTTGCACAACTTCAAACGTGAAATAAAATATTTTATTTACATAATTAGATTACAAATTTGATATGGAACATAAAATATTTTTAATTAAACTTTCTAATACTTCTGATATAATTTTAAAACTGAAATCAAGGTGGGTTAAAAACCGTGTTTTACATTAACAAAACCACATTTCTGATGAGTAAAAGAATTTTAGGTTTTACGTAAATTCGTAAAAACTATCAACTTCACATGTCAAACATATCGACAAACCTAACGGGTTAATAAAAACTTAATTAATAATTTCACTTAATGTATACTTGTTGCCATTTTCTAATTCCTTTTGAGTTTTGATTAGATTTTAAAAAAATTTTAACTCTTAAAAATATTAATGACTATAAAAAAGTTTATATTTATGAAAGAAAGAAAAGATAGAAAAAAAGAAAAAAAGAAAAGAAAGAGAAGAAAGAAAAGAAAGAGAAGAGAGAAAAGAAAGAAAAGATTGAAAAGAAAAGAAAGAAGAAAGAAAAGAAAGAAAAGAAAGAAAAGAAAGAAAAGAAAGAAAAGAAAGAAAAGAAAGAAAAGGAAGAAAAGAAAGAAAAGAAAGAAAAGAAAGAAAAGAAAGAAAAGAAAGAAAAGAAAGAAAAGAAAAAAAAAAGAAGGAAAGACAAGAAAGAAAGAAAGAAAAGAAAGAAGAAAGAAAAGAAAGAAAAGAAACAAAGAAAGAAAGAAAAGAAAAAAAAAAGAAAAAAAGAAAAGTTCGAGATTCTAACGCGTATTTTTCCTCCTAGGACCCTTGAAGTATAAATTTTGCAAGCTAGGGAAAATATAGAATAATTTTCCCCATTTTCTCCATCAATATTTAATCATGAAAGAAAGTGTTTGCAAAAAAAGGGTATTAGATTTTCGCAAATATATTCGCAAATACATTTTCGCAAATATATTCGCAAATACATTTTCGCAAATATATTCGCAAATACATTTTCGCAAATATATTCGCAAATATATTTGCTCTTAGTTGATTTTAAGAAATAAGAACTACTTTACATAAAAAAACAATAAAATTTGTTGCATTTTATATTATCCCATTTACTTTTCATTTTCCCAAACATTCAATTTTCAATCTGTTCCAGTGATATGAGGGTTTCTAATTAATCTGAAATCCGTCACAAAGTTTACATATCAGACCTCAAATCATTTGATAAATTACATAATGATGAAAATTTTCGAAATTTATTTGAAAATTCTGAAAGGAAGCGATTTATGTTTGGAAAGTTTGAGTAGGGGAGAGAGGGAAGGGGGCCGGGAGGGGGAGGTCTGATGTAGAAACTTTCAATTTTTGCAATTTTTATCTTCTAAGTTTTATTATTATTAATTCTATTTTCTATTTAAATTGAACATGTTCTATTTATATACATTGTAAAACAAAAACAAACCAAAAAGATTGCGGATTTTATAAAAAAAAAATTGAAATTTTGATCATGCATTAACCTTCCCTAGGGTCATATGAGATCCCACACTAAATTTAGGCCCGATCGGTTCAGCCGTTTTGAAGTTTATTGGATACAAGTAAACAAACAGACAAAAAGACAAGCAAAGTATATATATTTAGATAGATAGATAGATGGTTGATAAATGATTTATGATAAATAAATTGCAGAAATTCTTTTAATATTTGAACGGTATTTGATAACTATCTCAAAGCACCCTGTTTTACAGTGTACAGTTTATGTTCTTTCGATATTTTACTACTTATTGGTCAAATTTAACCCCACCCCTAAATCTCGCAATGAGAAAACGAGTCCAATATAATGTACTGTGCAGCGTGTCACCTTATATGTAGAGAAGGTTTGAACAGAGAAAAACTGAAATGTATTAATTTATAAAATAACTATGGTAGGTTAGAAGGGACTAGAGAACTCTAGAGATAAGGAAGAACTGAAAAAGGTTATAGTATGGACTAGAGTACTCTAGGTATGTAGAAGAGAAGTGTAGAAGATTTGAAGGGTTTATGAGGAGCTCTACAGAAGAAATGTAGAAGATTTGAAGGGTCTATTAGAAACTCTAGGTTTATAGAAGAACCATAGAATGTTATTAGGGACTAGAGAGCTCTAGGTATAAAGAAAACTATAGAAGGTTAGGAGGGACTAGAGAACTCTAGGTATATAAAAGAACTGTAAAAGGATAGGAGTGGCTAGAGAAACTCTAGGTATATAGAAGAACTGTAGAAGGACTAGAAAAAGTATAAATAAGAACTGTAGAAGGTGAGGAGAGACTAGAGAAACTCTAGGAATATAGAAGAACTGTAGAAGGTTAGGAGAGACTAGAGAAACTCTAGGTATTTAGAAGAACTGTAGAAGGTTAGGAGAGACTAGAGAAACTCTAGGAATATAGAAGAACTGTAGAAGGTTAGGAGAGACTAGAGAAACTCTAGGTATATAGAAGAACTGTAGAAGGTTAGGAGAGACTAGAGAAACTCTAGGTATATAGGAAGAACTGTAGAAGGTTAGGAGAGACTAGAGAACTCTAGGTATAGAGAAGAACTGTAGAAGGTTAGGAGAGATTAGAGAAACTCTAGGAATATAGGAAGAACTAGAAGGTTAGGAGAGACTAGAGAAACTCTAGGTATATAGAAGAACTGGGCCCAATCCAGGTAACATTACAATCAATCAATATCTGTATACAGCAAGGAATACTTCAAGGTCTCCAGGGAAGGAGGGGGATGGAGGGAGAAAAAGTGGATGATGGGAGGGGGGAGGGGGGAGTATTTCTACCTGGAGACTAGATGTAATACATATGTGTATATTTTTCTCTTTTAAAAAAAAATATTTAATTTAAACGAAGATTTTATGAAAAACTGTATTTATTTAAAATCAATCGCGTACTTTTTAATGATTTATCCTATTCTGTCTTTTTTCTACACCACTCCTTTTAATGTGCTTTTTACACCAAAAAGTTTTGAAGAAAGTTTATGTCGGAAATAAAAGAATATTCATATTTATAGTGCAGACTTTTTATTACATTTAGAAAACAAGATTTCACAGAGACTGAAACTTTAGACATTAAAATGGTTAAAATAAACTTGGTTTCGTCAACAAACATCTTTTTATTTTTTCCACTGAATTCCAAACGGAAAAAATATGAGAAACTGCATTCTGAATTTTTAATTTCAGACACTAAGATAAAAAATATTTAAAAACTGTTTCCGTCGGTGCGTGCCATCACTATAAAGGAATTAACTCTTTGCCACAAATTCTGATTGTCTAATCCCATTATCTTGGCAACCCAATGATGTAGACCTTAGATTTTTCAAACTATGAATTCTGTTAGATCAAATAATCTAAGTTTAAAATGTCAAAGATTTACACCATTAGGTTGAAAAAATATAGTGATTAGAAAAGTTGAGTTTTTGGAAAAAAAAACTTAAATCCTTTGGACAAATTTTTAGACGAACCTAATCTGTTCAAGCATATAGAATATCGAATCTAAATTATCCTGAATACGTACATGGTTAATAAATTTTCCATATAATTTTATGGAATTTTTCAAAAAAATTTTCAGAAACTTTTCTGGAGCCAATGATATAACAAACAAATAAATAAATCTTATTTTTTCAATCTCATCAGGAGTAAACTATGAATTCCTGATGAAATCTTTTTTTTACGCATTTGTTACAATTTCAAGTAAAACAGGATTTCTCTCATTATTTAATCTTATTTCTTTTTTTAATGATTTAATTTTAGGGTTTCCAATTCCGGATGAATTTCATATTGAATAATCGGCCAGTGAACCTTTTTCAGCATTTCACACCTTTTCAGCAGCCAGGGGGTAGATTTATTTGTAAATTTCTTAAGAAAGGGTTCCATCTGTAATTTCCAAACGTTATTAATGGTCATTCTTAACAGCTTCAGTTAAGGTTTCTTTTTTTAATAATTGAACTTCGGATCAATTTGGTTCCGTAAAGTACATTTTTGTTCCGTATATTAAATATGGAAATTAAAGGAGAAACTTTTCTTTTCAGATTTATATATCACATACATAACTACACATACCATTTTTCCGTATTTATAAACTTATATCTTAACCGATTTATATCTTAACTACACAGTACACATACCAGTTTTCCGTATTTATAAACTTAAATCTTAACCAATTTAAATATCAACTACATAACTACACATACCATTTTTCCGTATTTATAAACTTATATCTTAACCGATTTATATCTGAACTACACAGTACACATACCAGTTTTCCGTATTTATAGACTTAACTCTTATTCGATTTAAATCTCAACTACACATACCAGTTTTCCGCATTTATATGCTTTAATCTTTTCCAATTTATATTTAAACTCCACATACCATTTTTCCGTATTTATAAACTTATATCTTAACCGATTTATATCTCAACTACACAGTACACATACTAGTTTTCCGTATTTATATGCTTAAAACTTATCCGATTTTATCTCAATTACACAGTACACATACCATTTTTCCGTATTTATATGCTTAAAACTTATCCGATTTTTATCTCAACTACACATACCAGTTTTCCGTATTTATAGGCTCTTAATGTCTATGGCTAAATTTAACCATGGCTCGTGAATATAAAGGAGTACTGAATGTCGTAATTAACGTATTTTATAAATCGTACACCCTGAGAGGAATTTTTTCCTAGAAAATATGGCTTTTAAAATATGGTGGATAACATTTTGCAGTACATTACAGAGTTTACTTGCAGTACATTACAGAGTTTACTTGTGTTTACTCTAAATATACCTCCGAACTACATTGTTTGTGCATGATGTTGTAAACTTGTAACACTTCTCCTTAGTCTCCTAGAGTTGAAATTACTGAAGTGTACCAATAGTATCCTGTATATTCATGGTACAGGTAGACTATCTATCTATCTCCAGTTCTACGACCTACCCTGAGTATTAGTTAAGAAGCAACCAGCATGAAGAGGATCTGGATAAATATATTGGTTACAGTTCAACTTATTCTTGTGTCAAGCTCTTATTCAAGAGAAACCTGCCAGGGTAAGCGTTCAATGTATTTTATATTTGTTTAATAGAAGAAGTGTACACACAATTTTAGCATTATACATTAATTGAACAGAGATTTTAACCAGAGCTAAAAACTTTAGAATGTTAGATAACGACATTAATGCTTGATTCTCTCTTTTTCCTATTATCGAGACTAACCAAATCTTGTACTTAAGTATCTTGAAAAGTGTATAAAATTCAACCAATCAGAGTCGCGTATATGAAGCCGATAAATTTAAAATTTTGCGCGCCATTTAATATATACAGAAACGGGAGAGACTCTTTAATTTTAAAAAACCGGTTTTTGATTTTTTTTTCTACTTTAACCAAGAAAGAACGGTTTAAGAAGAAAATCTAAAGTGTGTCAATTGGAAACATATCTCATTCTAAAGTTTTCAGCTCAGGTCTGAGACGGTTTAACCACTTATCTTGAATCATTGATTCAGAATTTGCCCATGTCCTGTATAAGATAATTCTACACTACACAACTGCAGTTAAGTATTTGAATCGACGGAAGGTAGTTCAACGACCTGCCTCCAATTCATTAAATTCGGTCTAATGGTGCTTTTCACATTTCCTTCATTTAAAGTATCAAATTCAGAACTTTAGCATTCAAAGGCTGTCTTAAAGTTATATTTATAAATAAACGTTGTACTTATTTTTTTTAGAATCGAAGACGATTTAAATATTTTCACTAAATTCCTTTGAATATGTTCATCGCATTAAAGAACAAATGATTGAATGTTTGTTTGGCACCCGGTAGTCTGCAAACATAAAAGGCTAGGTAGGTAATGTAGGCTCATAGTCGTAACACAACGATTAACCTCCTAGCTACATTCAGATCAGATATGAATTGGATAGTTTCGTCTTATTGAAGTTTACACATTTATATGAACTCTGGATATTTAGTCTCAACATAGTACATATATTACCATCAACTTTAATGATGTATTGCACGTCCTAAAACTTTTATGATTTATTTAATCCAACTCCAGACTGAATTCCGGGTTTGAGAAAAAGTACTTGTTTTTTTTCTATTTTTCTTCTTGTAATAGATGAGAGCAGAGGTTGTAGTGAAATAGAACAGGAAAACCAGGAGAACCAGGAGAACCAGGAGAACCAGAAGAACCTAGAAAAACTTACGGACCAAGAAGGTTCGGCTACTTGTGAGAAGCTAGAAAACTCAGAAAACCAGGAAAAATCGGAGAACCCGGAGAAACGGGAGAACCAGGAGAAAAGGGAGAACCAGGAAAAAAGGGATAACCAGGAAAAAAGGGAAAACCTGGAGAAAAGGGAGAACCAGGAGAAAAAGGAGAACCAGGAGAAAAAGGAGAACCAGGAGAAACGGGAGGATCAGGAGAAATCGGAAAACCAGGCAAAATCAGAGAACCAGGAGAAGTTTGAGAACCTGGCAATTATGGACAAAGTGGAGAACTCAAAGAACCTAAATATACTTAAACCTGTTGAGAATGAGAACCCTGAAGACCAGAAAGTTCGTTTACTCAAGGATCTAGAAGAAAAGAAAAATACCCTAGAAACCTTCATAAACACACATTTTCAGGTACACCTTGATTAGGTGCTTAGATAGATAGATAGATAGATAGATAGATATATAGATAGATAGATAGATAGATAGAAGAAGATTATGTATCCAACCCTATCTAAGGATATAATATCTATGTATAGGATATTGAGTATGGAGAAGAGATCGGAGAGGATTATGTATCCAACTCTATCTAAAGATATAATATCTATGTATAGGATATTAAGTATGGAAAAGAGAGTGGAGAAAATTATGTATCCAACCCTATCTAAGGATATAATATCTATGTATAGGATATTGAGTATGGAGAAGAGAGCGGTGAAGATTATGTATCCAACCCTATCTAAGGATATAATATCTATGTATAGGATATTGAGTATGGAGAAGAAAGCGGTGAATATTATGTATCCAACCCTATCTAAGGATATAATATCTATGAATAGGATATTGAGTATGGAGAAGTTAGCGGTGAAGATTATGTATCCAACCCTATCTAAGGATATAACATCTATATATAGGGATATTGAGTATGGAGAAGAGAGCGGAGAAGATTATGTATCCAACCCTATCTAAGGATATAATATCTATATATAGGATATTGAGTATGGAGAAGAGAGCGGAGAAGATTATGTATCCAACCCTATCAATGCTTTTACTATGATTCGAAGACTAGCTGTAGACTGGAGATCTTTACATAAGGTTGAGGGTATAAAAAAAATAAATTAATAATAACTACATAAATTGTATAGCGGACCCTTTTCTCTTAAATGATTTAAAATTTCTGATTGATATTTTAGAACGAAAACGAAGTAACAAGTCCAGTTTCTCCCTGCACACATCTTCATTCAATATTTATCTGTTAGAAGAGTGTCAATTTCTTTTCAATACAAGAAACACAATTTTGGATAAAAAATTTACTTTTACATTTATTTTCTTTTTAAATATAAAATATGGGATAAACCTGAGGGATTTGGTTTACTTTCTACATAAATAAAACTGGAATTGAGAGCTAGAAAATCTAAACTATTTTATTCTAAAATTTGGAGCCTTTTACCTGTAAAGTTTATATTTTGGGCTCAGCATTATTTTCTGATTTGTTTTTTAAACATTCGCAATATAATTTTGCTTTTTTAAAAAGCATCACAAAGACCAGGGTTGTTAATATCTTTATATATTTGAATTTTGAAAAGTATGCTCTAAATTATATTAAAGTTTACAACATGATATCACATTTAGTTAGTTTAGTTTTGAGTTACATTTAATATATTAAAACCACATCAAAATTCTTGTAAAACAAACATTTTGTAATAACTAGGATTAGAGAACTGTGACATTTTTCATTAATATTAGAAAAATCTTAGTGACTCACAAAAAACTTATCGTGATACAGCAGTCGGCGTTTATATCAATACACTGAAGACGACTTTTCTATTAAAAGTTAATTACTAACAAGCTTTTTAAAGAAAGAGAGAGGGTAATTCATGTTTATGAAATCAAAAGTCTACTTCATTGTATTGATATAAATGACAACTACTGTATCCAATAAAATCTTTTTACAGAATTTGTTTACGGAGGAGCCCAAGTGGTATAGAGCTGTATAGACTACCAGAGATGAACGAGAATGAATTTTCACACTGATTTAACTGACCGTCATTCACAATTTAACTAATCATAAATGTTTCTCTTTTTCTCTCTTTTTTATAGTTTTTTTGTCGGTGGATGCATTTTGAATTGAAAAGTGTAAATAAGAGGCTACAAAATATGCGGTGCAAACAAAGGAACTGAGTTTTTGCCACAGATTCTGATTTTACAATCACTATATCTTTGCAACCTGATGGAGTAAACCTTTGATATTTTAAACTATTATTATTTGATCTAAAATGATTCATAGTTTGAAATATCTAAGGTCTCCGACATTGTGTTTGCAAAGATATAGGGATAAGAAAATTAGAATATGGGACAAAAACTTAATTCCTTAGTTGTAATAAAAATTAAAACTCGGGTTTAGGAGGATATAGAACCTTGCCTTGACACAAACTCTGATATTATAATCCCAATATATTTTGCAACTATATGTTGTGTTTCAGGCTATGCTATCTGTAAGATCATATAATCTGTACATAATCTGTAAATAATAACTATCAGTTAGAACCTTTAGTATTTTATTCATTCGGAATCAGATCCTTTGATACTAGAAAATAAAAGATTTTTTTTTTAAATTTCTTTTCTTTTTGTATTCCAAGTAAAACACTAACCCTGTCTCTGATTCCCTTTGATCAAACTGATTGAACATAATGTACACAGAATACAACAAGTTACAGGCCACAGACTACACAGACTGCTTTTGCACTCTACCTGGATAGGCTGAGTAGGCCTATGGTGTCCTGGCATGTCATGCTACGGTTCCATGTAATGTTTTTGACTGACATCTTACGGCTAGTTATTGCATTCAGGGGTTAAGTTTTACAACTTTCAACGAAATACTCCAAGTTTAAACATAAAACATAACGTTTATGAATATTTTCTATTTTTTAAGATTTTGCATTTCCTATTCAAAGGATCCTTAAATATCCCTGAATACAGATGTCTCCTGATTGGTTAAGTACTTGTAACACAATAGAAAATGCTGTGTAAAATATTGCTTATTATAGGTATTAATCGATCTCTGTAACTCTCTTATCTCTGGCAGAGGTGCAATGTTTTACATTATCTCTTACAATTTGCGATTTTTATTAACGTTTCGAAGACGAAAATTGTTTTCAGAATGAAATGTATTTTACCATTTTGTATGTTTCTTATTATTTTTGAATTTTTACCATTTGTCCCTGTTTTTAAAAATGTGACCCGGCTCTACATCTTCTACTTGTTTGAAAATCAAGATTTCTAAAATCTGTAGACTGTATAAGTATATAATTCTAATTAAGTATTGAAGGGTAAGAACGAGAATGTGGTCAAACAATAGAAACACATACACAGTACAAAAATAAGGATGAATGTGTGTTGTATTTAATGTTAAAGGATGTGAACGAGAAATCGTGATCAAAACAATCAATTAATCAATCACTTACTGCTACAACTTAGTGGCCTCGTAGCGTCTCTAGTTTTCATTTAACGCACAAATCTTCTAACAGAAAATATTTCCTGTATACAATATTAGATATTCAAAACATGTTGTTCTTCTCGATAGATCTATAAATAGAGGAGTTATGATTGAATCATCTACATTTAATCTACGTTTAATCTAAGCTTGATTTACGTTTAATTTACGTTAAATATACGTTTAATCTACAATTAATCTACATTCGATTTACGTTTAATCTACGTTTAATCTACGTTTAATCTACATTTGATTTACGTTTAATCTACGTTAAATCTACGTTAAATCTACGTTTAATCTTCATTTGATTTACGTTTAATCTACGTTTAATCTACGTTTAATCTACATTTGATTTACGAATCTACGTTTAATCTACGTTTAATCTACATTTGATTTACGTTTAATCTACGTTTAATCTACGTTTAATCTACAATAAATCTACGTTTAATCTATATTTGATTTACGCTTAATCTACGTTAAATCTACATTAAATCTACGTTTAATCTACGTTAAATCTTCATTTAATCTACGTTTAATTTACTTTATTTTGACGATAAGAACGACAATGTGATCAAAACAATGGCAACTTAATGTATAGTGGGACCCACTATGAATAAACAAGGATGGATTGATATAATATTGTCACACTGTGTATTTTATGCAACATTACTGGTATGATTTTGTGATCCTGGAGCTCCTCTAGGTTTGATTTTAGGCCCAAGTATGAGAAATTCAAAATTACTTGGTTACATATTAGAAATTTGATTTTCTTCTTCTAAATAGAAACTTTATGCTTAGTGGTAACCACGTCCCACAGTATAAAAACAAGGATAGATTTATATGAAACTGTGGGGTGAGAATGAGAATAAAAGAATACTGCGGCAGTGTAGAGTGTCCACTATGGGATGTTTCATGTTTAGTAAAACACCTGCTTTAAAATTCATTTGACACAAGGGTACTATATACAGAATACTGCAGTAGATAGATAGATATGTATAGATATAGATAGATATAAATATAGGTAGATAGAAGATAGCCTGGCTAAAAAGTGCTTCAGCCAAGTTGTGTGTCAAGACTTTTTGACACTTTTTTGACTCACAAAAATAGTCAAGAGGGAAGTCTCAGACACAATAATAGGTTTTTGAGCAGCTGAAACTTAAGATATTGTTTACTTTACTCTCTATAATAGTGAACAATCTACATACACTCTACAGTTAACACTCTGCATTACTCAATCTACACTCTAAACTCTATAAACTCCATTTTTTATACTGTAAACTTTGAATTCTAATCTCCGAAAAGTACTGTAAACTTTGAATTCTAATCTCTGAAACGTACTCTACACTCTACACTTTACACACTACACACTACACTCTACACTCTACACTCCACACTCTACACTCTACACTCTACACTCTACACAATAGGCTTTAAAAATCCAATTTTTTTTAATCGTAAATTTCTTTTTTAAATCGAAATTTATCTTTTTATTTCGAAATTTTTTTCTTCAAAAATTAAAAAATTCCACTGGTAACGCCGGGGCACAATTCAGCAAGTATAGAGTTTACATAAGTGTATACAGAAAAGATTTCATTGCTTATTTTGAGAACATTACATTTCAAAGTTTAAAAAACCAATAATATTACTGCTTCAAGATATAATCATTGATAATCTCCTTCATTCTCTCAAAATAATCATCATAGCTGGGTTTCCAGAGACTTTTAATTTTGTCAATAGATAGATAGATAGATAGATAGATAGATAGATAGATAGATAGATAGATAGATAAAAAGATTAATAGTATCGATCAATAACAACCTCATTGATAGTTTTGGAGCAGTGTGACGGCTTTGATTTCCTAATTCCAAAAATTGGAGTATTTTCTAATTTGTGAGCAATACCTTTAAAATTGACGTTACTTTAAATCCTTGGGATACAAACCTTACACATGAGAAACCAAGGTTGCATAATAAGGTTAGTTACTCTTCATGCGCTACAATGTATGGAAAATGTCGTCTCCTGAGATAGATAGATAAAACCTAATATTAGACGTCACTCTCGACTTGATGTCATATTACGTTTTATCTATTTTTCTTAGGAGACGACATTTTCCGTACATTTGAGCGCATGGAGACTCGAGAGTAACCAACCTTATACAACCTTGGGAGAAACCCATGGTTATAATTATTTGACTAAACATATTCTCAAAAATATAATAGATATTCGCATTAAAGTGTGTACTGTAGAGTAGAGCGGGGCAAGTTAAGACTTTTATCGAGCTGTTCGTTATTTAGGTAAAAGGGAACGCTCCGGTCGTTATTTAGCGGTATTTCCCGTTATTTTTTTTAAGTTACTGTTTCATGCAAGTTAAGTTATTTACTAATCCCAATATCTTTGATATTTTAGACTTAGGTTATTTCATTTTACAGCACTAATAATTTGAAATACAGGGTGTCCCAATAAACGTGGGTATTGAGAGATAACTTGAAAGTCGTCTTTGATTTCTGATATCCATGGCAAATAAAGTAAAAAAACGAGGCTGTACGTCTGAGGAGTTTTTTATAAAGTGGTCTAACTTTCTTGTATTTTAAAATTGACGAAGTATTAGATATTAAGACAATTATGATTTATTAAATAAATTGAAATTTTTTTACAAATTTCGCAATATCTCCGTCAATTTTGAAAATACAAAAATGGTAGACCACATTTTGAAAATCTCAATACCAAACGTTTTTGATGTTAGATGTTTAAGCTGAACAACTGCAATAATTTTGTTCATGAAAAAATGACGCATGGATCAAAGACGATATGAAAGTCGTCACTGAATTCCCATGTTTATTGGGACACCCTGTATCTAAAAGGTGAACGACAATAGGCGGGAGGGGGGGGGGTGTATTCTATACGTGACAATAACTTACCTACAATTTTAGATTATGAAAGCAATAATAAAGCACTTGCCAATCGTAAGTATTATTGTTAACCCTAAACAATGAGTTCTCCGTTGTAAAGTCGTCTTTGACTAAGATTTTCTCCCAGAGCCGAGTCCAAACCAAACCTTACCCTCTCAGATAGTATAAACAACCTCACGTGCAGTAATACAGTTTCAAAAGTTTATATCAAAAATAATACTTATAAAAATAGTGATTTACGTTTAAAATCAATTGCCATTTTATTTCAGAAGTCAAAAACGTCATTTTAGTACTGTATGTAACCTTGTTAATTAAATGTATTTTTTCAGGAAATAAAGAGATTATCATTATTATCGATTTCGGGTGATTGTTTGAATGTGTGAATGATCGGGAGCCTCAGTTAATCGGGATCATTAGTTTGGGGAACAAATACCCCTCTGGTTCAATCCCTGGTAAATTGCTGTTTTAAAGCTTCCCATTGTGTATTTCGGGATCAACTCCTTTCTTTGGTTCAACAATTATGTATTGAGTGTGTGAGATGTTGAAATAATTGAGAAACATAATATCTCAAATGTCGTCTTCATTTTAGATAATTTAAGATATATTTCAATCTTTGCCTTTTAACAATGGCGCAAATAACAGGGGGAGGGCGACTTGATCCTCCCCCCCTCAAGAAATTCTTCTTCTTTCGATATCTGATCACGTTTGATCATTTTTAGCCAAATTTGATCAACAAAAAAAGATTTAACAACAATTACAATGAAAAATTGATATTTTTCGTTAATTTCAGAGCGGATAGCAAAGCCGACCACTTAAATTACTTATTAAT